CTGGATAAATGTGAGTCCACCCCAAGGATCTTGACTTATATACTGGATAAATGTGAGTCCACCCCAAGGATCTTGACTTATATACTGGATAAATGTGAGTCCACCCCAAGGATCTTGACTTATATACTGGATAAATGTGAGTCCACCCCAAGGATCTTGACTTATATACTGGATAAATGTGAGTCCACCCCAAGGATGTTGATTAATATGCTGGTGTCATATGAATCCACCCCCAAGGATCTTGACTTATATGCTGGATAAAAGTGAGTCCACCCCCAAGGATCTTTAACTCATATCCTGGATAAATGTGAGTTCACCCCAAGGATGTTGATTAATATGCTGGTGTCATATGAATCCACCCCCAAAGATCTTGACTTATATGCTGGATAAATCCTTGGGGGTGAGTACACCCGCAAGGATGTTGACTTATATGCTGGATAAATGTGAGTCCACCCCAAGGATGTTGATTAATATGCTGGATAAATGTGAGTCCACCCCAAAGGATGTTGACTTATATGCTGGATAAATGTGAATCCACCTCAAGGATCTTGCCTTTTATACAGGATAAATGCAAGTCCACCCTCAAGGACATTGACTTACCCACAAGCACAGTGATGACCTCGTTGTTGGCATATTGCTCTATCTCCCTCAGCCATTCTGGAAGGCACCTGAATGATTCCTCACAGGTAATGTCGTAGGTTAATATCAAGGCATTGGCACTGCGGTAATAACTCTGAGTGATGGAACGGAACCTCTCTTGCCCTGCCGTATCCCATATCTGGAGCTGCAGATCACAAAAATTGGAGACAATGTAAGCATCTAAACATCCATTGGCAACTTAGATTGAAAAATGGAAAGAGTTAAAGAGGAACTCTAGAATTGTAAAAATTGTCTCTTGCCGACATGCACCTGTATCCCAACATTAGTACCACAGCTAAACCCTATTGAAAGCCTTTAGAATGAATAGGATTGCCGATTGTGGGCCAGGTCTTCTCATCCAACATCAGTACCTGACCTCAAAATGCTCTTCTGACTTAATAGCCACAAATACCCTCAGACACACTCCCAACGTCTTGTGGAAACCCTTCTCAGAAGAATGGAGCCATAAATGAGGGGAGGCAACACACACGTATTAATGGCCCTGGTTTTAGAATGGGATGTCTAACAAGCTCATATAGGTGTGAGGGTCAGGCGGCCATATTGTGTCATTGCCTGGCTGTCTCTGAGGTCAACAATTTCTGAACCTCTGAATAGGCACAATCATATAGGTGTAATGGTCAAGTGATTACAAACTGTTGGCCATGTGTGCATGCACCCAGGTACCTACACCTAACTATGTCGAAAAGAGATCTTACAGAACTCTGGACATCTTTTGACTTGTCTACTGGAATGTTTTTATAGGGATGAGCACCTGTGTGTAGAGAGCATTACTGTTGCAGGAGATCCATCTGTCAGTTACCATGTAGTTACCGTCCTGCTGAAACTTACCACCTTCTCTGTTATTCCCTTCATCTTTAATGACTACATTTCAGTCCCCACACACCCAATTCTTCCAACTGAAAAAAAGCCTACAGGGAGACTTCTTTTTACCAACAGGGGCTATGGAGAATGAATGCACGATACTGCACGGCCCAGCATGCTCAAAGGAGGACCAGAGCACCATCTGGCCCAGTGTAGGCACAACTCGTGGACACAGTAGTAGTAAAAGAAATGTAGGTAGAATGGGGCTAGTCTTGATACAATTTAGTTTATTAAATATAGTCATCTTTTAAATTGGTCTCCAGACAAACGCACATCAAATACATACAGTATATGGGGACTTTGTTTTTTACCTGTCAATGCTTTTGAATTTCTCTCCATCCAGTTATGAGATTAACACAGCTCTGCCACACAGCCCTGTCTGACAGAGAAGGAAACCTGCTATAGTCCAGTAACATGTACAGGTCCCTCCCGTAGTCAGTTACTTAATGGTTAATGGAAAAGCAGCAGACTGGTGACCTCATCATCTCTCCTCCTATTAGAAGCTCCTTCTGCTGTTTCTCTACTTCTTTAATGTAAAAAAAAAACCCATGTATTAATTAGGGATGCACCAATACCGGTACTTGTATCGGTATCGGTGCCAATGTAGAGTATTTGGGCGAGTACTCCGAGCCAGATACTTGAGCTTCTGGTATCATGAAGCCGGGCAGCGAGTCATTACAGCTGCACGCCTTCCTGATTGGCCGGGAAGCCAGCTGCATGCTCCCTCATTACGAGGGAGCATGAAGCCGGCTTCTGACCAATCAGGAAGCCAGGCAGCGTGTAATGACTCGCTGCCCGGCTTCCTGATTGGTCGGGAAGGTGACCAATCAGGAAGCCAGACGGCGAGTCATTAGATGCTCCCTGGCCTTCTGATTGGCCAGAAAGCTGGCTTGATGCATTCCCGTCACCTGGTGACAAGGGAGCATGGAGCCGCCTTCCCGGCTAATCAGGAAGCCGGGTGCCGCGTCATTACATGGCGCCCAGCTTCCTGATTCGCCAGAAAGCCGGTTCCATGCTTTCTCCTCACCTGGCGACGAGGGAGCATGGAGGCGGCTTCCCTGCTAATCAGGAAGCCGGGTGGTGAGTCTTTACCCGCCACCTGGCTTCCATAATGGGACTTCCAGTATCAGTATTGGTGAGTACTGTAAAAAAAAATATTGGTACTCGTACACGATGCCGAAAATCCGGTATTAGTGGATCCCTAGTATTAATTAATCAGCGTATTTTATATCTGCTCGGAGTTCAGCTTTATTCCACGTTTGCAGCGGTTGTGATGATGCGACGCGGCTGGTGTGCTTCTGGAAGCTGCAACATTTACGGTGACCCTGCGAGAACGCAATCCAAAGCGCCCTCAGTAAAACAAACCGTTCCTTTCAGGCAGACGGGGAGAGACGCTGCGAAAGCACAAGCCGACACACAGAGCCCGCTTTGTTCCCTAGAGGAAGAGCTGCTGTGAAAACCACAGAAACATGTGATTCAACAGTGCCGTATAAAACAGCAAACCTGCCCTTGAAGTTAAACAGAACTGGAGGGACCAATTAACTTGGAAGAAAACAGTGTGTGTGTGCGCCCGGCGGCCCATGTCTGCTACATACCGCTATGCCAGAGGCTCCCTGTTGTGTGGATTGGAAACAATGAAGGATTTATTATGAATGATGAATGCTAAGAAGAACTCCATCGAGGCCTTTTCGAGTCTCAGCAACCCCCTATGTAGTTTTATAATAGCATAGGGTAATGTCTCAAATTCTCTAACCCCCTGCCCTAATACAGTTCAGGCCTGTATCAGTACTTGTTATGTGTCCTAGCACCAATATAAAGCCTCTCTGCTTTGAACATTCCAGCCATGGGTACCTACATCTCCGGGTCCATCATCCCCCATGTAATCAACTACTGCGTAATGAAGACACTGTTTCCAAAGAGCTCAAATCAACTCTTTTGTCTCTGCACAACAGAGAACCCTCAAGCCAGCAAATCCCTCCGATGCGTTTCGCCTCTACCACTGGTGCCTAGTCGTAGGGCCAATGTTGACCGGCTTACAAGTCAATGGGAATGCAAAAGCAGCTTGAAGCAGGATGATGCGGCTTAGGAGGTCAACTGCAGGTCAAACGGGTACCTTGCGCCCCAGCTCTGAATTGGGTCAGCCTCATGGAAGGTCAGATGCTCAACGCCAGCAGGGGTTTGCCCAATGCCCAACTGACTACACAAATCCAAAGGGGTAGGCTGCTCCCAAGCCCTGAATTGGGTCACCCTCATGGAAGATTGGATGCTTAATGTCAGCATGGGCTTGTCCAATGCCCCACTGACTGCACTAATCCAAAGGAAAATGCTGAAGAAAACTGAAACACTTGCAGGATTATTTATCCTGAACAATAAAACAGAAGGCCCCCACCTGGGACCTCCTCACCAATGCATTTCACCTACAAGGTTAGTTAAACCTAAATGTCCCTGAACTCTGAATGATCTCAGAAGTGTCCTAAACTGACCTCAAATTTAGGTGGAATGCACTTGTATGTGCCCATCAACAAAAGTTCTTACACAGATTATACACTGCCTGCCCAAAAAATTAAATCTACCTGAATATACTGAATGACCAGGTTTTAATTTTTTCTTCCCTGATGGCACATAGGACATATTCCAGGATGACAATGCCAGGATTCACCGGGCTCAAATTGTGAGAGTGGTTCAGGGAGCATGAGACGTCATTGTCACACATGGATTGGCCACCACAGAGTCCAGACCTTCACCCCATTGACAATCTTTAGGATGTGCCAGGAAGACTTTACACAGTCCGAATCTCCCATCATCACTACAAGATCTTGGTGAACAATTAATGGAACTCTGGATGGAAATAAATGTTGTGACATTGCAGAAGCTTATAGAAACGATGCCATGCCATGGCCAATGTGTGCCGTAATCAAAGCTAAAGCCGGTCCAAATAAATATTAGAGTGTGTGACTTTTTTTTGGCCAGGCAGTGTATTATATTAATGTATGTGGTCAAGCCTCCCCCCTTGGCCTGTGATACTTGGTAATGCATGAAGCCGGAAAACACAGACAAGTTCCCTGATGCAATAGGACTCTTCCCCTGCACTGAACCCACAATGGTCAGAGCAACAGATGACACCACCACCACGGTTCTTTGGTTGTTCTCAGCTCTGCGTGGGTTGGGCTGTCAGTTAAGGGGCGGATGCAGGCACCAACTTTTTCAGAGTGTCAGACCTTCAACTGCTTATTAGCTTCTCTCCCATTGTAAATGTAAATACGTAATTGGTTTTATTCTGTGTTCTTCTTTTTTAATGAACAAGGAATTTATTCCAAAATATGCCCATTGACTGATCTCAAGGGGACTTTCCTTTATAGCACGTACGCCACACATTTGGCTAATTAGCTCATTCTTTGCAGTATTCAGTAATGGGCCCAATGACTGTAAATAAAGACTGAGCTGCACATTTTTCAGAAGTAGTAAACTGTTGCTAGGAATTGAACATGTCGCTGAATTCCTCGGCATGGCTTCTTTCCTAATTACAGCGGAGTTAAAGTGAAACAAAGAGCGAAATCTGAAATGACATATTCGACGCAGTCTGTCAGGAGCAGCAACAAAGCAGTTTTTGGAACATAGTTATAGTACCTGTTGATCCTGCCAGTAGATACGTTATTTTTCCCTTCACTGTATACGGGGGGACACCCAGGGCCGGATTTAGTCTCCCTGCTGCCCAAAGGCCAGGTTCCTCAATGTGCCCCCCATCCCCGCCAAATTACCCACCCCCACCCACCCAATGGAGAATGGCAACTTGATGGCAGGGGCTGCAGGGTTAGTTTTACATTTTTTTTATTGTTTCTTTTTTTAACTTTTTTACATTTTTATTTCTCTTATCATCTTTTTCCTTTTTTATTTTTAATAATTTTTTTAACCTTATTTTGTTTTTATTTATTTTTTTATAATGTTTTTCTTATTATTTTTTACTTTTTAATCGCCTTTTTATTTTAATTATTTCACCTCCAATACAGGAGTTCTAGCACAGCACTGTGCTGGCTCTCCTGTGACAGCTGAGAGGGGAAGACTGTGAGCTTTACATTGAAGCGGTGGTCTCTCTGCAGAGGTCTGACATGTTCCCTGCTGAATCAGTAATAAAGCTCTCCAATCAGAAGTGACTTTTGCTGGTTGTAGCCTGAGAAGAAAGGCCTGTCCCCTGCCAGCATGCTGTAAAGAAAGATGTTTGCTCTCTGCATTGAAGCAGCGGTCTATCTGCAGAGGTCCGACATTTCCACTGCTGAGTCGGCGATAGAGTTTCCCACCCCTGGTTAACAGTTAGCAATGGCCCTAAAGTCATCACTCCCACTCTGGCATGTGCAGCAAATCCCAACATGTGTCACGCCAAATGGCTTGGTATACGTCATGGCACACAGCATCGCATAAGGCATGGCACATAGCATGTCATATGTCATGGCATACGGTATGGCATACGCCATGACACACAGCATGGCATACGGTACGGTACACGGCATGGCATACGTCATGGCACACAGCATGGCATAAGGCATGGCACACAGCATGGCATATGTCATGGCACACAGCATGGCATACGTCATGGCACACAGCATGGCATACGTCATGGCACACAGCATGGTATATGTCATGGCACACAGCATGGCATACGTCACACAGCATGGCGCATAGTACACCGCATGGCATACGTCACACAGCATGGCACACAGCATGGCACACAGCATGGCGCATAGCACACAGCATGGCATACGGTATGGCACACGGCATGGCGCATGGCACACAGCATGGCATACGTCACACAGCATGGCGCATAGTACACAGCATGGCATATGGCACACAGCATGGCGCATAGCACACAGCATGGCGCATAGCACACAGCATGTCGCATAGCATACGGCGGCAGCAAAAAGGTTAAGTAAAAATCAAATGAATTAAAGCCCAACTCCGGCTAACACTTTTAAGCAAGTACAGAGGTAGAATTTGTTTTTTTGCTTTAAAAACAAAAAAAAGATTGAATTGAACTGAATATAAGCTGACCATCTTAAACACCCCCGCCGACCAGTGTTATATGGTTTGTCCCAACTCTGGTACCAGCCACTTTGCTGGACAGCTTGGCCTGTTACACGAAGGGGAAAAAATCAAGGATCTGCGAGCTGAACAAACAAACCATTTTGAGAAATGTTTTTGACTTGATACATATCAGAAAAACAATAACGCAATCCAGTGCTCTCCAAATCTAAATATTATTTGGTGAGAGTCTATTCCTGCTGTATGGAATACAGATTGGTCACCATCCTTCTCTAGCAGGTGATTGGACAATGAAGGAGCAGCAAGAGGCACATTGATGAGGGAGTCATTCCTCTTATCCCACCACATCACATTGGAACATCACATTGGAACATCTTGCACCAAATTCAACCATACCTAAAAATGTGGAAGGAATAGGGTTGTCACCTTCTCTTCAAGCGAAACCCGAAAACACTGACTTTTTTTGGGAGAATGAGTCGCGGCTTATTCATATATAAATTGCGCCGGTCATTAATATGTAAATATCACAGTTGAGACTATTTTCAGTGGGGGACCAGTAGTCCCTATCTTAGTTTTGGTTGCCCCTGTCTGCCTGCTATCCGGGTTTCTGCTGTCATGAAACCCGGACACAGCATTGAAAACCCGGACTGTCCGGGTAAATCCTGGACAGGTGGCAACCCTTGGAAGGAAATCTGTTGGTCTAAAACAGGGGTGGGCAACTCCAGCCCCCAGCAGCCTGTGTTTTAACTACAAATCCCATCCTGCATCTGGCTCTGAGAGTCATGCCAGTGGCTGTCAGAGTCTTGCAATGCCTCATGGGATGTGTAGTTCCACTACAGCTGGAGGGCTGGAATTTCCCAACCCTGGTCTACAATGAGGTCATGAGGCCTTTCCAGATACACAAAATGCAAATCCTTCTTGATCCCCGGTGGCTCGAGGATCAGACGAGGTGTATAATGTAATCAGCGAATCATTCTCCAATCCTTCACTAATGAGAGGAACAATTTTAAAGTTTGCTGATGAGCTTCGTTTATTATGTTGACATTGTCAACACTTGAGGAGCAGTTCAATCAAGGTTCCCATCAGTTTGTTTTCTCCTGGAGAATAACGTTAATTCTGGCAGGCGGGGACGGGAGCCATTGCGGTGCGGGGGGGTGGATACGGCAAGGCAGAGCTGCCAATCAGAATTTAGCTCACTTGGAGTCAGATGAGGAAATCGAATTGGCTGCCCAGTGTTCCTGCCCTTTGCATTACTTTATTGAATAAGCCGGAGCAACTTACCTTCTTTCTTCACCTCATTCTCAGAGGCCATTGATGTGGAGATGCTCAGAACATAAGTAGCAGCAGTGACGTCAAAATGGAGGTGTGGGGGGTGCGGCCCGCACCTGGGTGACACCAAAATGACTGACATTTGGAAGTGCAAACCTGGTTACAGGATCTTTACAGCTGAATGTAGACAAATAAAGTTGCTAAGAAAAAGTTCTATTTATTAAAGCTGTCCGCTGTCTATAAGCTCATGCACTTGACTTGCGTCACATGATACATAGGGGTGGTTCCAAAGCACAAGTATTTGGTCCACAAATGACACAAATAAGCAAAATAAATCCTCTCACCTTTATTTTTTCACCTTTTATCTCCACCGTTTTTATCATAAAATCTACCCCGATGGTGGCCCCTTGGCCAGGAGGGAAGAGACCCTGCAGAATAAAAAAGGAAACATAACAGCATAGTCGAATAACTGCAACAAAAAGGAAACGCCAAGTGGTCCATTTTTATTACCGTGTTTCCCCGAAAATAAGACACTGTCTTATATATTTTTCGGCTCAAAAAAACACACACTAGGTCTTATTTTCTTTTTAAATGTATAACAATCCAAAGTTAGTGCAAATCCAAATTAAATAATCCAAACTGGCAAAGTTAAGAATAGGGTGATCAGGGGTGCCGTACCTTTCCAAGAGCAATTTGGTAACCAAAAAAAGCAAAGCGCACTTTCACTATACATTCCCCACAGGCGGAGTGCATTTGGTATGACTCCGCCTGCGACAGGAGCCGGCGCTATAGAGGAGGCATCGGCTTATGCGGCTCTGCTCCCTCCGGTGCCGCCTCGCTTCCTCTAGTGCTGCCTTCGTTGGCACCGCTGATTCTCTCCTGCCTCTCCCGCGGCTCTTCAAGTTCCCCCTTATGCCACCACCGGCCCTGGCAATGGTCACAACTAGGTCTTATTTTCGGGGTAGGTCTTATATTTTAGCAATTCCCAAAAATAGAACTAGGTCTACAGGGAAACAGGGTAGTATGCCAATGTTTAGGAAACATCTTCCAGTTTCCTGAGCTCCGACAGTCTAAGGACCCGTGATGTCATTACATCTAATACAGGTCCATTCACCTGCATTAGACTTGAGGATGCTGAGGGACATACCACATCCGGAGTGGAGGCAGAGAGAGGAAAGGGCTGACCGAGAATCGGATGAGTAAATCTTTTCTATTCTGGCTCCTAGAAAAAAACGAGCAGTTAACCCTTGCAGAGCGGGGGTAGCCTCACTCAAGGGGTTAATGCTTTTAATTCCTGGAGTTCTTCTTTAACAATACGTACATATACGGCGGCCCGCGGAAGTGGTTAAGCCAAGAACATGGCTGCTGCAGCTGTGTTCTTGGTGTCATTTTAAACAGCTGGGTTCGCTGTTCAGGTACAAGCGATCCGGTGTCTATACAGCCGCCAGATTGTTTGTACAGATTACCAGCATGTGCTTCCCCAACACCCTCCCCCGCCACCACCGCTGTCCCCGTGCCGCTGATCTCTTCTCCAATCACTGGACCCAGAAGTGATGTGTACAACATCACTTCCGGTCTCACTCCGCACAGTCTCCGGCTCTTAGAGCCAGAAGAAGAAGCTGGTGAAGCAGAACTCGGCTTTCTCAGCTTTTTTGGGGTCCCCAGGTGACATTAGGGGTCCATAAAGAGGACGTGTCACACCCTATCTGCTATTACATAGGGGCTTTGTTAGCCCATAATGTTATAGCAATAAGGTTAGTGTAAAAATAAAGTAACATATCATTAAAAAAATGCAAAACATTTTTTTTAAGTCCCCCGCCCCCCACATGCACGCACATACATAAGCAAACACGCGTCGGTGTGACTATGTGCAAAAATTAAAATTGTGCTACACATGTTACATATTGCCACAAACGTCAGAGTGAGAGCAATAATTCTAGGCCCATCAGTCACTTTAACACTAAACTGATGAGCAGTAAAAGCGTTTAAAATGTCCCCCTATGGGAAATTTTGGGGATTTAAGTTTTTTGCAGCTTCAGTGCGAACGCAATTTTAAGGCTTGGCATGTTTGGTATCAGTTTACCCGACGTGACCCCGTCTTTTATATTTTAACAAAAAATTGGCCATTATATTCTGTTTCTGAGCACTAAATTAAATTTTACTGTATTTTAGCCTAAAAATACCAGTTTGATAAACATTTGCTCAAATACCGTGCAACATAAAAAATTGCAACCAGCATTTTTTTTATTCTACAGGGCCTCTGCTTCCAGAACATATATCATTGTTTGGGGGTCTGAAGCTGTTTTCTATCCAAAAATTCTGATTTTATCATGTGTGTGCCAATGTGAGAAATTGCTCGGGACAGCAAGTGATTAAAGTGAAGCTATGAGGTCAGTGCTTTTCACTCACCTCATACGGTAGTTCTAGCCGACCTGTGACAATGAGACTGTCACAGGTCGGCTCAGTAGATCGGGAGGTGAGCGAACACATACCGGCGTTCGCTCACCTCTCGATCCTGTCACGGCTCTCTGCCATGACAGGGGAGGGGCTGGATTCCCCCCTCCCCGCTCCGATCCGCCAGCGCTGACTGGCGGAACGGACGGGGGAGGGGGCGGGTACAGCTGGCTCTGCCTCTAGATAGGCAGAGCCATCTGTCCCTCACGCAGCTGGGCGAAATCCAGACATAATTGTCGGGATCCGCTTCAGCGTCTCAGTATATAGGGAGCTGTAGCTCGCGTTATACTGAGCCTAGGGTGACGGGAGGACGCTAGTTTGTTTCCTCCCGTTACCCTAAGGAGAACTATGGGGAAAAGCCCTAACCCCATAGTTCTCCTTTAAGCATTGGGAAATGTGCAGGTATTGCAGAGATGCATTGAATTCGACATACACCTTACAGTAAAAGCACCGGGGGCCCCTGATTCGAATTCCCGGTCAGGAGGACCTGGTCTACATGGGCTTTGCATGTTCCCCCTGTGCTTGTGTGGGTACCTTCTGGGGTACTCTGGTTTCCTCCAACACTCCAAAGACATGCTGGAAGGTTAACTGGCTCTTGTCTAAATTGGTCCTGGATGTGTGTGAAATAGGGACCTTAGCTTGCAAGCTCCTTGAGGGCAGGGACAGATGTTAATGTGCACAATGTAAAGCATAAATTGTCCTCGCTATAATGTTATTAATTTATATAGCGGCTATAAAAAAAAAACTTGTAATAAATAAATAAATAATTGCTGCAATAATGGCTCACGGACATGCGCTTGCTTAACTTGTACACTCTATTTCCCCTTTAAATCGCTCTCTTCCTACACAAAAGCAGAAAATACGTCGACGTCGCTTACCTGGGTGAATCTCCGCACCAGACAGGTCTTCCCCACCCCGGCGTTTCCGATTAGAACGATCTTGAATAGGAAATCATAATCTTCCATACTCATTTACACAGCTGCGGGAGACAGAGAAAGAGGGACGATCACATCTGCTCGCTGGTCAGACCGCCAACACGTAAGCCGTCTGGTTGTGACATCCCTGCAGGGAACTTTATACCTCCAAGTAAACAGGACAAAGGTCTGCCAACTGAGCAACGCTGCGTCACTGGTTACAGCTTGCGCTGAGTAAGTAGCACAATGGTCGCCATGTGTTTGTAGCCTTATACTGCAAACAGATCAGCCACGGCAGGGGCGGTAATGAGTGCCGTTACTGGCCACGGATGGCAGAGCTTCAGCGTGCGATGCTGTTTGCACTATAATCAAACACATCACAGGTTAATATAAATAATATTTTAATAATAATATAAATAATATTTTATTTTAACAATAATATAATTATATTAATAAATATGAATAATAAATAATACATATTAATGAATTAATATTATATTAAAAAAGGAAAACCTTTGGACACTACTGCGCATAAATAACTTGCAATAAACTATAATCAATACAATGTATAAATACATCTTTATTACCCCCCCATACCTAAATCCTGCACACTTTTAAAATTCATAGCAGGGGGCCCTGTTGCAAAACCGTATAAATGTATCAATAAACCAGTATACAAAGTATCAGATTCCTACAAAAACCGCTTGAGTTCCACCAAAAATGTATCAAACATAGAGCAAAACAATGAATTAATCGTATAGTATAAATTGGGTGGTTGATGATGCTTGCATATACACTGAGTGGCCAGATTATTATGACCACCTGACGTTTGTAGGCTAATTAGCTATAATTTGGCGCTGAAGTTGCTAGAGGGCCAGACCATTATAAATAGGGAAGCAGGTTGTTTACCACGACAGTAGAAGTGATTTGTTTCTGAAGATACGGGGAAACAACGCGATTTAACAGCCTTTGAACGCGGGAGGATTGTTGGCGCTCGGAGCCATGGAGCGAGTATCAGCAAAACAGCAGAATTCGTTAAATGTTCAATAGCAGCTGTTGTTAAAGTGTTTAAAGACTGGACTGTCAGCCGAAAATCTGGGTCTGAACGTGCGTAATTGTGGCCGTCAGCGACTAGTTAATGTTAGGGCAGAACGGAGAGTGGCAAGACTGGTACAAGACAACAGAAGGGCAACAGTGCAGCGTCAGATTCCTCGCATCACCTTTCAACATCTCGTGGAGTCACGAGGCGGCCAAACGAAGTCATCTCGTGGCCCAACTAAGTACTGATGGGGTGGTCATAATAATCTGGCCACTCAGTGTATGTTAGATCACCATTCATAACATTATCCACCAGATCACCTCCATCTCTATTTTTTTAAGAAGAACTCCCGGAATCTAAAAAACATGCAGTAGCCCTACCCGGCACTGCAAGGGTTAAGTGCTCGTTTTGACTAGGGGGCGCAAATAAAGCAGATATACTCACCTGGTCCTCAGTCCTGCCAGGCTGAAAGACCAGTCCCCGAAGCCTCTTCTCCCCCGGGCTGCGGCAGTCTAAGGACCACTGACATCATCACATCCATTGACTTGCACTATGACGTGAGGATGGTGAGGGACAGCTGGAGCGGAGGGGGAGAGAGGTGAGCGCTGACCACAGCAGGACTGAGGATCAGGTGAGTATATCTGCTGTATTTGCGCCCCCCCTAAACAAAATGAGCACTTAACCCTTACAGTGCGGGGGTAGTCCCACTGCAAGGGTTAATTTTTAAAAATTCTTAGAGCTCTTCTTTAAGGCGTTTATTGGCATTGTGGCATTAAAACAGCACGCATTGTACAGCATAATCCTGAACCACAAAGCTGGAGTGAACAGTTACAGTAACAAGACCATCCCATCAGTGTCATCACACTGTTTTGCCTGATGAAGGGACCCTGAGGGGCTCAGAAACGTTGTGCTTATGTGATATCATGATGATGCGTCAATAAAGACATATTGATTAATGATCCTGCAGTGCCAGTGACTTATCTTCTTTATTGGACACTGCCATCCATCACTGCAGTACCCACCTTTTACTAGGGACATATCGGTCAGGGGTGCTGCAGTGATGGATGGCACCGTCCAATAGACAATTTGCAGAGCCATTGCCCCTGCGAATCTTTGGGAATGTTCATTCTCTGCAAATGAATGTATTTTCGAATGTCTTCTTGTATTACCACACTATGGCCACTAGATAGAGCTAAGGTACTTATTTCCTGTGCTCCTCAGCTCCATCTAGTGACCATAATGGGATATTACAAGATGACTTTGAAAATACATTCAATAAATGTTTGTTTTGTGTATCCTTCAGGGTGTAGCTGCAATCTGACACTTTTGAGTGTGCCAGATAACTTTCCGCCCAGCACCCAGTGGGGGAAACACTGTCCTACACACCCCGCAGTTCTTCAAAAATGCAAAGTTTCAATAAAAAGAACAGGTAAGTATAACGCTTCTTCTTTTACAGGGTACTTTGGCTTTCAGTTTGTTTCGGGGATGACGGAGTTGCTTTACAGGTCTCGCTTTCATTATTTGGGGCCCATTTACCTATGCTCTAGCGTATATTATGTTGCACATTAGCGTGCCTTGTGCTAGGTCAGCCCAAAAAAATCAACAGTCTGCCAGTGCACCCATACGTACCACGAAATTTGGAAACATGGTGTGCCTTTGCATGCACTAGGGTGGCATGCGGGGTGGGGTTGTTTGTGTGTCGCCTCAGTTGCATTGGGGTGGCATATGAGCAGGGGTGGCATGTGCATTGCCTGAGTGCACTGGGGTGGCATGTGGGGTGGCGTGGCATGTGCATTGCCTTAGTGCATTGGGTGGCATGTGGTGTGGGGTGGCATGTGCATTGCTTTAGTGCACTGGGGTGGCATGTGGTGCAGGTGGCATGTGCATTGCCTTAGTGAATTGGGGTAGCATGTGCGGTGGCATGTGCATTGCCTTAGTGCACTGGGCTGGTTTGTGGGGTTGCATGTGCATTGCCTTAGTGCACTGGGGTGGCATGTGGTGCAGGTGGCATGTGCATTGCCATAATGAATTGGGGTAGCATGTGGGGTGGCATGTGCATTGTCTTAGTGCAGTGGGGTAGCATGTGGGGTGGCATGTGCATTGCCTTAGTGCAGTGGGGTAGCATGTGGGGTAGAGTGGCATGTGCATTGCCTTAGTGCACTGCGGTGGTATGTGGTGTGGATGGCATGTGCATTGCCTTAGTGAATCGGGTTAGCATGTGGGGTGGCATGTGCATTGCCTTAGTGAATCGGGTTAGCATGTGGGGTGGCATGTGCATTGCCTTAGTGAATTGGGCTGGCATGTGGGGTGGGGTTGCATGTGCAGTGGGGTAGCATGTGGGGTGGGGTGGCATGTTCAATCAAAATGAATGGCATTGCAATGCAGCAACACACATACAATACACACATTTACACGCACGTTCCCCCAATGCAATAGATGTAAATGGGCCCTTTTTGATGAGTAAATAATACTCATAAAAAAAAAAAAATTGTATATCCTTTTCACATGTCAGTGCGTGTGTCGCGTTAATTGCGCAGATTTTCTCTAATAAAGCCTGCGAGAACGGCTCATCAATATCCGCCCTTGTTAGAAGTCCACACTATCTGATTTCAATTAGGGCGCTAAGTAAATAGTTTGTTTTAGGCTGTCACTGGGATGAGGCTGATGTAGTACAGCGCCAGGCCCAATCATTTAATAAAAACCAATGTACTGTCTCTTCACGTCACCTTAGCAACAGCATTCGCGTTTGTCACCGGAAAAAAAAAAAAACTCAAACAGATTCATATACAGAACATGTGCCTAGAAGAAGATCTGGTCCTGGAGCGCTGAGGTGCTGGATTCAGTTCCATGCCTGGAGTTACATATGAAACAAAATGTTGCGCTGATAAGACATGGTCAGACTGATGCCTCATTCACACCTCTGAGGTGCTGCGTGGTGCGCTGCAATAGGCAGCCCATTCATTTGAATGGGCAGCCTACTGCGGCTAAATTGCACAGAAAGAAGTGCGTGCACTTTTTTTTAAAATCACATTGCACTTTGCATGGTGATAGGTTACCATGCGATTTGGTGCGATACAAAGCACACACATTGTCTAGGTGCTTTGGGGTGCCATTAAGAAATAATAGCAACCACTCTGCAGGCTCAACACAGCCCCATTAACTCCTATGAGTGAGCATGGATGATTGGAGGCTGCCATGAACATGGCTCACCCATAGGAGTGAACGGGCCAGCGGCAAGACATCATTTTCTTCTGTGGCGGACCCAAGAAGCAACGCAGAATACTACCAGCTATAGAGGAGTACGAATCCCAGCAATACATTATACAGCAATGCAGAATAATACCACCAGCTATAGAGGAGTACAAATCCCAGGAATACATTATACAGCAGTGCAGACTAATATCACTAGCTATAGAGGACTACAAATCCCAGGAATACATTATACAGCAGTGCAGACTAATATCACCAGCTATAGAGGACTACAAATCCCAGCAATACATTATACAACAATGCAGAATGGCACCAGCTATAGAAGAGTACAAATCCCAGGAATACATTATACAGCAATGCAGAATAATACCACCAGCTATAGAGGAGTACAAATCCCAGGAATACATTATACAGCAATGCAGAATAATACCACCAGCTATAGAGGACTACAAATCCCAGCAATACATTATACCGCAATGCAAAATATTAGCATATGAATTTACTACATACTCTGTGCTGAGACTCTGCTCTGGGGTGCTGGCCTGATATCTTGGGCAGAGGGTCTCAGGAAGGCTGTGGGGGTCTCAGGAGGACTATGGAGGGTCTCAGGAGGGGGAAATGTGCAGGTCAGCACTGAAAACAGATGCCTGTAGTTCCAACAGCCTTCCTGTCCTAGGGTGACAACGCTATTCCTCTATAGATGCAGTACACTGACTGAACGTTGTCACCCTGGGACAGGAAGAGCGTTACTAGCAGGATCACCGTGTGAGAATAAGGGAAAATCATTTAATGCAGCCACCACACTTAAGAACCGGT